TCCTCTAGGCGAGACGAACACTACATATCATGAAACCTTAATTTCACCGAGAGATAGAAGTTATTTTGAAAATGATAATAACGCTAAGACAAGATGACAAAGCACTAGCGACATGAACCCTAGGATTAGCAAACCTCTTTCAAGGGTTCTTTTGCAAATGAAAAGTTTGATGAACACAATAATAGACATGGTCGCCGTAATCGTGTTAGAAAGAGATAGGTGAGTAAATTCCGCCCGGAAATAAAATGGCGAGGAACAAAATGTTGATTTGTGGATACAAGGATTTGGGGTTCAAAATGATGATTATGTGAGGATTTCATATTGGATGGGGATCTTCTCTTCGAATGTGGATACATAGATTTGGGGTATGAAACATGATGATGTTGGGGATTTGAGATTGGATAGGGAGCTAAATCGAATGTGGATCAAATAATAAAAGGATTTGGGTTCGAAACGATGATTTTGTTGGAGATTTCAGATTTGATAGGCAGCTTATGATCGAACTTCGAACTAAGAGGGGACCCTCCAAGACGAATGAGGGATTGTAGAAGGGAGACTGGAAATTGGTTAGGGCGGCGGTGGGTCGTATCCAACTATCCATAGGATTTAACCTCTTAATCGATATAATTAAACCTGGTACAGTTAGGTTGAAGTCCAATGAAAAAAACTTTAATGCTTCGTGATGCTTTTTGTAATTTTCCTTGCCCCGGTCTTCCGTAACCCTGATTTTTCCCTGGGCACCCTAGAACTGCCCATATATATATAAAAAGATATGTTTAAATAGAAGAATTTGAATTTCCAAATACTAAATCATTTGTTTAATTTGAATAATATTTACATATGATATTTGGATTTGTATCAATTCATGGGGTGATTTCGAAACACATGTCTAGTTTATTACTTGTAAATTTCAAATGCATATTATAGGTGATTTGAAATTCCTCAAAATAACAAATTGGATTTGTTTGTAAAAATTTTAATGTTCAAGTACTATAGCATAAGGTAAAATATATAAAGGTAATAAAATTTACCTTTATCACCAAAAATTCTGAACCTCTTTGTAAAAAAAAAGCTAAATTGTAGATACTAATGGTAAAAAAATTTAATTTGGGTAGCAAAATGTAAAATTCTTAAATATTTTATGATGTGTTCAGAAAATTCAATATTAAAATAAAAATTCGTAAATTTTAAAATCTGAAATACCAACTAATTACAAATGAGCATTCAAACAATAAATGTGAATCATATGTATTTCAAACAATAAATTCAAATATTTGAAATACATACCAAATGAATTTTGTATTCCCACCTATACTTATTTTAAGTGAAATATGTTTAATTGTGGGGCAAATTTTGAAGGGACTCCTTATTAATTAATTGTATAATGTTAATTTGTTTAATTGACTTGGGCGAGTCCACCTTTCTCCATTGGCCAGACCAATATCCATTCTCCAGATCACTTCATTTCAACGTCGAGTATTTGTCATTACTTACTGAACCGGAATCACATATATCACATCGAAACCAGCGAGAATCATCCAGTAACCCTAACAATCTAAATCACAAACGACCACAAGGCGAACCTAACTTGGTGTCATCGCGTGAGCCGTGCATTGATTCCATCGTCGATCTCTGGAGCAAAAAAGAAGCCTACATAAACTGATTAGCTAGCTAGAGAAACCTAGAAGAGAAAACCTAACTTGGTGTCCTTACCCAATAAGAATAGCGATAATGGGTCTATGGCAAAAGTCGGGAGCTCAGATGATCATCTGCTCACTACTTGTCCTCGCACCTCATCTGCGTCATAATCTTATAATATTCGTCGTTGGTTACCACTACGAAGTCCTGTGCAACACTGAATCTTTCCCGACTGGAGATCTTCGAGTCGCCTGTTTGGATGGTTTCCTTCCTTATTTGGCTATGCATATTGGGCCAGACATCACCTCAGCCCATGCGATCACACTCGGCCCATGCCGTCCATGTAAAGGACTCGGCTGCATCAGAGAGGAATAAGCATATTCCTTCTCCTTCACGTAGATGTAGTCCCATGTATGCCCTAGGTGACTCTGATGTATTGGGGTATATAAATCCATGTATGGCTTCTAGCCAAACTGTGAAATAAGAGATCAAAGTTTCTACAGTGGATGTAAGCCTTACTAACGTAAGGAAGAACCACTATAAACCAAGTGGCCAGACATCACCTCAGCCCATGCGATCACACTCGGCCCATGCCGTCCATGTAAAGGACTCGGCTGCATCAGAGAGGAATCAGCATATTCCTTCTCCTTCACGTAGATGTAGTCCCATGTATGCCCTAGGTGACTCTGATGTATTGGGGTATATAAATCCATGTATGGCTTCTAGCCAAACTGTGAAATAAGAGATCAAAGTTTCTACAGTGGATGTAAGCCTTACTAACGTAAGGAAGAACCACTATAAACCAAGTGTCCTTTACCTTTTCCTTTACAATTTAACATGGTATCAGAGCGGTAGGTCTCAGTCGGCACCTATCTCTTAAATCGCCATGGGTTCTGGCGATGAAGATTTCAAGCATAAAGGAATCTCTTCCAGCAAATCCGACGATGAGCTTCCGTCGGTCTTACAGCTGCACAACTCCGATAGCCCCGGCAACATGCTCGTGGGCGAGATTCTGACCGCGTCTAACTACGGGGAATGGTCCCTAGATATGAAGGATGCGTTGATTGCGAAGGATAAATATTGCTTCGTGGATGGAACTCTACCCAAGCCGAAAGATCCTAAAGAACTTGGAGCTTGGACGCGCTGTGACGCGATGGTTAAAGGGTGGTTAAAGACATCAATGGATAAGGAGATTTGAGGGAGTATCCGCTTTGCTGAACACGCCAGTGAGATATGGACGGATCTCCGAGAACGTTTCGGCCAAGGGAGCGCATCTCGCGCCTATGAATTGCGGCGGTTGATCAGCCTTCTTCAGCAGGAGAAACATACCGTTTCGGCGTTTTACACGAGCTTGAGGTCCTTCTGGGAGGAAGCGGCTGCTATTACCCCGCCGCCGATCTGCACTTGCGGTCATTGCACGTGCGACGTCTCCAGGAGGGTACGAGCCCAGCAAGAAAATGCTCGGCTCTTTGACTTCCTGATGGGCCTGGACGATGCTTTTGGGCCGGTACGTACCCAAATCCTAGCGATGCGTCCCGTACCTACCCTCGTGGAAGCATTTCGCATGGTTCTCAATGAGGAGCAACAGAAGAGTATTGCCCAAAATCGAAAGGCAACTCCTGAGGCAGCCGCATTCGCCGCAAAAGGTGATCCGGGCAGAGGGCAGCGTGGAGCTAGCGACCAACGTGGTACGGGGGAGCAGCGTAGCGCGGGTGAGCAGAGAGAACGACCGCGCTGCACACATTGTCATCGCCTTGGACACCAAAGGGATGCGTGCTATGAACTGATTGGGTACCCCCCCGGGTACTTCACAAGAGAACGTCAAGGGGATAGACCACAAAGGAGGCGTAATCGTGACTCGGGAGAGAATTCCCAGCGAGAGCGCGAGCCCAAGGCCTCGCAGGTCGAGGTGGAAACAAGCCCTGTTGCTGGATTTACTGCTTCGCAGCTCGATCAACTAAAGCAATACTTTGGTTACACAGGAAAGGCGGCAGAAGATCCTGCAGCACACATGGTAGGTATGGTCTTTTTCGATTCAGAATGGTTACTTGATTCCGGATGAAATGAACATATTACTATGGATGAGTCAATGTTATCTAGCAAAGAGTTACATGTCAATGGGCAACCAGTTCGTATTCCCAACGGTGATAGCATTCCTGTTAAACATGTGGGTTCAGTTACCCTTCAAAAGGGACTTACTCTGGGAAGAGTACTACACGTACCTGAATTTTGTTGTAACCTCATCTCTGTGAGTAGACTGACGAAGGATAACCGTATGGCTTTGATTTTTCTTGAAAATTTCTGCGTTATTCAGGACTTACTTTCCAAGAAGTTGATTGGGAAGGGTGAGCTGCGAGATGGATTGTACTACTTGCGGTTGTTTGGGACGGAACAGACGCAGGCCTGTGCAGCGCAGCGGAGTTCCACGGTTTCAGAGGCCACCTGGCATGCCCGGCTGGGGCATCCTTCGTTTGATAAACTTTCTTCTTTTGGTACTCTATTGGGAATGTCGTTCAAGAATAATGGTTTTTGTCACTCTTGTTTAAGAGCTAAGCAGACTAGAGATCCATTTCCGTCCAGTGAGATCAGGACGAAATCTAAGTTTGAACTTATTCATGTCGATATTTGGGGAGCCTATTAAGTTGCATCTCTCAGTTGTGCACATTATTTCCTGACGATAGTTGATGATTACACTCGTGGTGTTTGGGTATATCTCTTGCGTTATAAATCTGATGTTGGTAGATCTCTCTTGCAGTTTTGTCACATGGTTCGTACGCAGTTTGGGTGTTCTGTCAAACGCATTCAGGCTGATAATGAACGAGAGTTCAATACGGATGAACTTCGAGACTATTATGCACGTGAAGGTCTGCTTCTTCAAACTTCCTGCACCGATACACCTCAGCAGAACGGTGTGGTGGAAAGGAAGCATCGCCATATTCTCGAGACTGCACGTGCTTTGCGGTTTCAAGCCAGTTTACCGGTTAAGTTTTGGGGAGAGTGCGTTCTGACGGCAGTTTACCTTATCAATCGCACTCCGACAAAGGCAACCGGGAAGAGTCCCCATGAGATGCTCTTTGGAAAGATGGCGCCTTATAGTCATCTTCGTGTCTTTGGGTGCTTGGTTTATTACAAAGACACTCGAGCTCACCTTGATAAATTTGCCGAGAGGGGTCGAGCAGGAATATTCTTGGGTTATGCTGCAACACAAAAGAGCTATCGTATTTTTGATTTATCATCTCATAAAATGCTAACTTCTCGTGATGTTAAATTCCAGGAACACATTTTTCCCATGTAGGAAGGAGCTCGGCAAGAGCTTCATTGGATCCCACGGCCATCCGATCAGCCTGTGAGTGAGACGCACGATGACTCGCCTGTTCTTGGCCCAACTTCGTCCAGCCCAGGCCCTGAACAGTCACCGTCTACTGCTGGGCTTCCTTCTCGTTTGGACGCGGGGCCCAATCATGAGCCCGACACACCTCAGTCGTGTCGCCAGCATAACAACACCGGGCGGGATCCAGTGTCCCCTGGACTGCAGGACAGATCTGCCGGGCCCACTTCGGCCACTTCCCCTGGCTCACAGGTCCGCTCGGCCTCGTCCTCTCCCGCAGCGTCTCCTGGTCCGCAGGACCGACCGGCCCAGCCCACTTTGCCTGCGCCAGCTCATGTGCGAAGGAGCGATCGCGTTCGTTGTCGGCCCAAACATCTGGAAAACTACATCACCTCGTTCGCTGATGAAGAGGCACAGGGAAGTAGCTCTAATATGACTTGTTATCCCCTTGCTGCATATGTTGATTATTCTGGATTCAAAGGCACTTACCTCTCTTTTCTTGCAGCTCAAACTCGCCTGGATGAGCCTCGGTTTTTCTACCAAGCAGTCCGCGAAGCTTGTTGGCGCGAGGCCATGACACGCGAGGTTGATGCTCTTGAGAAGAATGGTACGTGGAGTCTCGTTTTTCTTCCCCCTGGGAAACGTACCATCTCCTGCAAGTGGGTTTACAAGATCAAGTTTTTCCCTGATGGAACTATTGAGCGCTACAAAGCACGTCTTGTAGCGAAAGGGTACACACAGATTGAAGGTCAAGACTTCCATGACACGTTTGCACCCGTTGCTAAGCTTGTCACAGTTCGCTGCCTCATCGCCGTCGCTGTCAGTCGAGGTTGGCATCTTCACCAATTGGATGTCAACAATGCTTTTCTTCACGGAGACCTCGATGAGGAAGTGTATATGGAAATTCCATAAGGTTTTCGCAAACCAGGTGATACACGAGTATGCCGTTTGCACAAGTCAATCTATGGGCTTCGCCAGGCGTCACGGAATTGGTACCAGAAATTCACCTCAGCTCTCTGTGAATTCGGTTTCCATGCCTCTCCTGCCGATGCCTCACTGTTCATCTATAGCCGAGGTGCTACCTTTGTCACGGCATTGATCTATGTCGATGATGTCATCTTAGCGGGCAATGATTTGGAATTCATACAGCGAATAAAGAAGTTTCTAGACGATTGCTTCAGCAAAAAAGATCTTGGTCAGCTCCGATACTTTCTGGGCATAGAACTCGCACGCGTTGCTACGGGCGTGCTTCTTAGTCAACGAAAGTACGTTCTTGACATACTAGAAGATGCTGGCGTCCAAGGAACGCGTCCTAGTGCATTTCCCATTGAACAGAATCATCACTTGACACGAGTGAATGGTGATCCTCTTCCTGATCCTACAGTCTATCGTCGTCTGGTGGGTCGTCTCCTCTACCTCACGATCACGCGCCCTGACATCACCTAAGCAGTTAATTTGCTCAGCCAGTTTGTCCATGCCCCTACTCAGCAGCATCTTGATGCCGTATTTCGGATCTTGCGCTACCTGAAGTCCTCACCGGGTCCGGGTTTGTTCTTTCCCAAAGATAACCCTTTACGTCTTACTGCTTACTGAGATGCAGATTGGGGTGGCTGTGAACTGACACGTCGCTCGACCACTGGTTACTTCATTAGCCTTGGTGGAGCACCCATTTCTTGGCGGACGAAGAAACAGCGGGTTGTGGCTCGTTCCTCTGCAGAGGCTGAGTATCGTGCCATGGCTAGTGCAGTTAGTGAGCTAATTTGGCTTCGTTGGTTACTCCAGGAACTCGGTGTTCCACAGACAGCTCCCACACCACTTCACTGCGACAACCAGGCTGCACTGCACATTGCGAACAATCCTGTTTTCCATGAACGCACTAAACATGTGGAAATGGATTGTTACTTTGTACGCGAGAGGGCGCAATCTGGTGATATCCGACCGGTCAAGGTTCCTGGCGACCTGCAATTGGCGGATATATTTACAAAGGGGCTTGGTGCTGATCGCTTCCGTTTTCTACTCTCCAAGCTGAACGTTCGAGATCTTCACGTGTCATCTTGCGGGGGAGTATTGGGCCAGACATCACCTCAGCCCATGCGATCACACTCGGCCCATGCCGTCCATGTAAAGGACTCGGCTGCATCAGAGAGGAATCAGCATATTCCTTCTCCTTCACGTAGATGTAGTCCCATGTATGCCCTAGGTGACTCTGATGTATTGGGGTATATAAATCCATGTATGGCTTCTAGCCAAACTGTGAAATAAGAGATCAAAGTTTCTACAGTGGATGTAAGCCTTACTAACGTAAGGAAGAACCACTATAAACCAAGTGTCCTTTACCTTTTCCTTTACAATTTAACAATGCAGACTGCAGAATCTCCTAGGGATGCTAGTCTGGTGACGAACTGGACCTGCTCTTCCATTGATCCTGTTCTGTATGGTTCCAGGAAGGTCGAAAACATTCCATTTGGCGGCGCCACGTGTCTGGAGACAACTAGGACGACAATCGTCAGCAACTACAGTCAACGGGTGGGAGCCCAAGCTCTGATATGGGCGAAGCGGGAAACCGGAGAAACAGAAAGTTGTCACCTCAGGTATGAGATTTACTCCTTCTCTGAAGCCTAACGCACAAAGGCATCCTTGCCGTACGTACGTTCCATCAATCTCCTATATGTAAGACGTACGTGTCAGTCTTTCTTTTGTGGTAATTTATCTTTACGGAACTTTCATCCTTTGTTGTATCTTATCTTATCTTATCTTATCTTATCTTACTCAATAATATACGGAGACACGGAGGGAGCCTTTGGTCATTTTCTTTCTAATTTGTATGGGCCTCAGAGCACAAAAGGGTTCTAACTTCTAATTTATATGGGCCTCCAGAGCATGGTTGCTGATTGACGGGCACCCATTATATATCTAGAGAATTAATTAATTAATATATAAAAGCATATGTTGTGAGTTACTATTCATTAGTGACACTCACACTCCTCCAATTGCATGTGGGGAGTTTCAAACTCTTCTTTTACCCCACTCTCCATTCTACAACCTTTGTGTTTAGTTATTGTTCGCTAGTTTTCCGTCTATGGCTTTTTGCACAAATCATCGCCTTTGCCCACCATTTTGTAGCTCATCTCGAAATACTGTCGGCGGAATCCTAAGTTGTTCCCCACAACCGTTTTCCAAGGCCTCTACCACGAGTTTTGTATCGGAACCGAGTGTCATCCTCTTTAGTGTTTTTTTCTTTTTTTTAGCATGATCACAATTGAAACCCAAACACATGGGTATTCTAACTTGAACACAAATCATCGCCTTTCCCCACCATTATGCGGGCCATCTCGAAATATGTCGGCAAAATCATAAGTTGTTCCCCACCATCGTTCCCAAGGCCGGTAACACGAGTTTTGTATCGCGACCGAGTTTCATTCTCTTTAGTATTTTTTTCAGTCTCTTTTTTCTTTTTGTTTAGCATGATCACAATTGAACTCAATGCCGCTACCGAAAATCCATACCATATCTACTCAATGTTGACGATTTTTGTATAGGGACTGAGTTTCGTTCGATTTAGTGTTTTTTTTCCCTTGTTGTTGGGGCCATGAGATAGTTTTATCCACTTTAGTATTTTTTATATCTTTTTCCTTTTGGTTGAGAATGACAATTGAGTCCAAACGCATGGTATACAACCTAAATCGACCCGACCAAAGCGACTTGGACCTGATTTTACAGGTTTACGGCGGGAGTGAGTTTTATTTGTTTTTGTAATTGTCGTGTTGTGTCAGGTGTGAATTTTTCCAAAACTCGGTCCAAGTAGGTAAAAGCGAGTTGAACCTGGTGTTGACGAGTTTTGAGTCGGTAGCGAGTTTTAGCTTTAGTGTTTTCCATTTCGCTTTTTCTTTTGTTTGAGAAAGACAATTGAACCCTAATCATGGGTATCTAACCTAATTTCACCTGATCAATGCGAGTTTAACCTTCTCAAACCTGTAATCAGTCCAAAATTTTCATAAAGGAGAACCACGATTATTTCAAACCCAAAAAAAGAAAGTCATACAAAATTACAAATTGAAACATTAGCGTCATGAAAGAAGTTTAAAAATTATTAATATATTCAACGACTCTTCTACCTTATGCAAGTTCATCGACCATATGCTATTGTAAATAACAAACCTATGAAAAGAATGATTAGCAATGAAATAAGATGACTTTCATTTGTTGGTCAACATTAAAATTATTACTTTTTAAAATATTTATCGTTATGATATGCGAAGCGATAGCGAGCGGGCTTTTGCTAGTATATCATGTCCAGTTGAATAATTCACAATGTGGATACAATTTATGGAACTCTTATTAAGTTATTACTTATTAGCCATTTAGTCCTTAAAACGATACAATGGCGAAGTGCATGGTGCAAGAAAACCAATTTTAAGCGGACCGAATACTGAACCAGAAAACTTAGTGGTTAATGATTTAACGGATAAAACAGTTCATGCACTATAATATAAACATACATAATACACTAATTTAGAAGTGAATTTACCATTACTCATAAAAATTTTCAAAGCCTTATCATGTATCACCAAAAGGTTCTAACAAAGCATTCAAACTATCTCACAAAAGAATCATAACTTTTTTTATTAAATTCAAGTTAGTAGGTAATAAAAGTGACCATCCATAGTGAACCATATAAATTCGACAAGGATGCTGGGAAATGAAAAAATGAAGCATATATAAAATTAGTGATTGAAATTGGATGGTTCATATGGTTTTATGTTAGACCGTTAAAAATCATTTGGTCCATTCTAATCGTCCAACCAAATGAACCGAACCGCTCTTATAACTGTTTTAGTGATTCTACTGGTCCAACCGTTGATCCGGTTTGGTTCTTATATGAAGAAAACTGATATATGAAACTTTTAAGCCTAAATTAAGAAGATAAGAAAAAATTTTAAATTTTAGAGAGTTTAACTCATCAGTTCATTTCAAAATTTATACGACATGCAAAATTACTTGATCAAATAGGAATACAAAATGAGAATTGCATTCCTGTTACGCCAACCGTAACTTTGAAATAAAGTAGCCACAATTATTATACACTATAGTGCAGAGGGGGCGGGATGAATAATCCTACACAACAACTAACTCTCACCCCGAATACTATATAATTCATGGATTAGAGACACCTTGCTATTCCCATCCAACACATCTAGCCCTTCCCATTTGGTTATTTGTTAGTTTATGAATTATTGCATGTATTCTTTCTTCCATGACGACATGGATTAGAGACACCTTGCTATTCCCATCCAACACATCTAGCCCTTCCCAGTTGGTTATTTGTTAGTTCTTTCTTCCATGACGACTGCCATTGTTGATGTTCTTTTACTTTCACCCACCACAAGTCCTTATTCAAACGTTGTTGATCTTTTACTAAATTTAGTTTCTTTTTCCTACTCACTACCCAATTGCAATTGCCTCCGTACTAACATGTTATTACGTATTGATAGTAGAAATTAATCTTTTTAGCTCACATATAATTATGGTTGTGCGAGGATTAAATTGTATTTAAGTGATACAATTCTTCAATCTTTACTTCTATATATTTACATTCCAAATTTATTATCAATATTCTTATTTTATAAAGAACTAATCTCTATATTTTTAATCACACGCTAATGCATCAAGATTGAGCTTATTACATATTTTGTGAATTAATATGATATCATTGAAAAACAAAAACAAAATTTGAATGTTGTTTTAATTGGAGGATAGTTAATATGCAATCCAAGCTGATATCCGATCTCATATTTTAAAAAGAGGAACTGAATTCTCAATGCTAGGTTTCGAGTAAGTAGCTGATAATCAATCCCAAAACGGATATTATTCTTTTCCTTGATATTATATGATAGTTATTAAGTCAAAGTGTAAACTAACAACAACCACGCGAATTCAATTATATTATTCAAATTTTGAAAAATTAATAACATCCCTAAATTTTTTCAAAGATAATGATATTTAGGTGCAAATTCCCTAAAGGAAAATCAATGACTCTTGGCCACTGTTTGACCAGAGAGTTTACACAATCAAGACTTTATGAATGAGAGATTACAAACCAATTCTAAACAAATTGGCCATCAAGTTTAAATCAAATACAGAACTCGAAGCATGCGATTATATTCCAGTCATACCAGCTCCCAAGTTTTACTTCATCTAACAAGATGAGATTGACAAGAAGTGCAACTAAAGAATTTTTTTATCAGGTTCGAATTCCTATTTCAATTTACTTCAATCTAATGTGTATACAACCAAACAAATTAATAATAATTTTTTCATTCCACGACCAGCTTATTTAGTATTCAAGTGTATTGACATCTAACACTCACTGGAAAATTACCTACAAAGAGGCTCCAACAAAAAATTCCCGAGTATGTAATTATTTTTATTTTCATTTTAAAATAGCATGTATTACTTTAAATCTAATCACAAATCTAATATACAATTTGGGTGCAGGGAATTGGTTGTCAAGGTAACTCTTTTTGGTAGGATAGTTTCTCAATTAAATGTCATCCTTACAAATGCGGTTAACCCGCCTCTCATCCTAGTCATTATATTACATCATTATATATATATATATATATATATATATATGGTGACTACTTCGGTGCACTCACAAAAATGAGTGCGTTCAATGCACCCAACTCAAAAACTAGTCTTAAGGTGTCGGATTTTGAATTTTAATTTGTAGAATTAGTGTAATATGAAAATATAACATATGATAACAACTAATTAGCGGATTAACCTAAGCTCTAGACCTCCAATTTTGAGTTATATCCCTTATCCCAAATTATAAACCCTAACCCTAACCCTAAATCTCTAAACTCTTCAATCCTTCAAATTAAAGTAATTTTTTAATGGTTTTTGTGAAAATTCATGTGCGTTATTGTTCATCACATCATAAGTGATGATTGACATCATTTTGACATAAATCACATGTTTACAATAACGATTATGAAGCGAGTGCACTGAATGCACCCAAAAAAGTGAGTGCACTATATATATATATATATATATATATGGTGGCTTCTATGGTACCCCGGGTGAAATCCGGGGTAACGCATACCTCGAGTATGGAAACTCTATCTAGACCTCGAATTACCAGGATTTTTGTGTCTGATATTATACCCTAACCCTTAATGAGTGAACCCTAGGTCATAATTATCTAAATCATAATCTATAAACCCTAAGATGGTGCATTCCTTTTTGTGCCTATATTTGGATGAATCATAACCGTCGATTATTATTTCTAATTAAATTGATCTTGGAGTATAAGATTGGGAGAGTTAACACCTAGATTTTGATCTTTAAGTGTTAGAGTATAGTATCATGTCCGAAAGATCGGTCAATTCAAGGTCTAGATAGTGTTTTCATACTCAAGGTATGCGGTACCCCGGATTTCACCCAGGGTACCATAGAACTCGCCATATATATACATATATGGTGCCTTCTACGGTACCCCAGGTGAAATTCAGGGTACCGCATACCTTGAGTATGAAAACTCTATCTAGACCTCGAATTAGTAGGATTTTTGGCAATGATACTATACCCTAACCCTTGATGAGTGAACCCTAGGTCCTAAT